CAAATAGATCTTTGAAATTGATATGTCTAGACAAATTTGAACTTATCAGTTCAAATAATACACCAACCCAATTAGATTGATTGTTCTCAAATAATTTTTCTAAATTCAATTCAGTAAACAGTCACACAATTATAACAGTGTTACAAGTTTACTTAAGTCCCTATATACCCAAAACAAATTTCACAATGCTTTATGAAATTTAACAACAACAAAAATGTACTTGACCTTTTTATACACAGTAAATGCACAGTTACAAGCTTTCTTACAGAAAATGGAAACAATTAATTTCCAAATGACAAATAAATTAATAAACCATTACAACACTTTATAATATCAGAGAACATAATTGTTAAAGATATTGTAGCACACTTACGAAACCAAAAAATCTATTACAACACTTTTCAATTCAGTAAAGAACCATTATAGGAAATATAACAAACAAAAAAAACTTATATAGCAATTTACAACCCAGAATTAGTGATGCTTTCAACTTTATACCTAACATTTAGAATTTAAATCAGTAGAGAGAAAGACACACGGTATATCCTGGTTCACACCCCTTTGTGCAATTTGATGCTACGTCCAGACTGAAGTAGCCACAGATATTTTATTGATTTCAAACGTCGCATTTTACAAACACTCAACACACGCAATCAATCAAAACCTATGAGCTCTAAGAATTTTCTCAAACCAAACCTATGAGCTCACCAACTCCTCTCAGAAAAGAACTCCAGTACACTCCGTAGTGGATTCTTGAGGCTCCAAGCCTTGAGAAATAGTCTCAAGCTAAGCAAAGGTTGTCAACCCTCTTGGTTGCACCTTTTCACACCTAGGACAGATTTACACAAATAGTTACTTCACTTTTAACACACAATACAGAACTTTCATATTTGTAATAGAAAAATAATCAAGGAATACAATGTCCTATCACATTAGATATATCAAATAAGGAACAAAACCAATGCTCCAAGATTATATATCAAAATATCTAAAATTAATGCAATAAGGAGCTTGGATATTACAAGATCAAGTCTCTAATCAATGGCAAACAAGACAATTAGAATTAAACAGAATATGCCATTATGAAAGAACAAATTCAAATCTGAAATACTCAATCAAGATATTAAATTTTCATATTATACCACTCAAAATTCCTAAGGCATATGAACTAAAAAATATGGAAATTTTAGATTAGATGCTTCAAATCAATGATTAACAAAGGATTTGAGTTGTTCAAGATATATCACAATGAATCCCTATAATCTTTGTATCAAAGAACTTGATTATCTAACAATTAAAATTCAAAACAGAAAAACAATGCAAGAGATTCAAGTTTCTAGAATACACTAATTAAGAGAAGTCTTCAAAAATCAAATTTAGAGTGTTACCACAAGAGCTTCAACTTTTCAGAGAACAAAAAACAAAGTGATGAGGCTAGGGTTCTTCACTTTGGTTCTAAGAATCTTAATTCGAATGTTTCCAATACCTCAGTCTTGTAGAGAAAAGAAACAATTTCGTTTTCCCACAATAATATTCAGAAAATCAGCGATGAAAACAACAAGGAAGCCACATGGTGTTTGGGGTTTTCTTGAGAGAAAGATGAAGATAGGGTTTGGATTAACAAGATGAGATTCTCACACACTCTTGGATCAATGATTCACACTCAAATATGAAATTTTTGAGTGAAATTTACTCTTCAAGAAGGATTCTAGAAAATGATGGAATGAGAGAGTCTTTTTCGCAATAAGAGAGAAGATTTTCATAGTGAGAGATAACAATATTGCATAATGAGAAAACAGAACAGAGATGTTGATTTTAAACAAAGTTCACGTTTGCTCGCGAGCATGCTCGCTTAAGCGAGGAAGGCTAGCAAGCAAGGTTACTACTCGCGAGGCATGCTCATTCATGCAAGGAGACCAGCAAGGAACAATAGAATTCGAAATCTCGAATTTTCACCTTTTAAAATATACTTTTCCAAATCAAATTTTCAATGCATGTTCATCAAATTAAAAGATCAAAATGTTCTCAACAACAACAATAAGATGCATGCATGATATGCATTGGAGCTTGATCATAATGCTTAGTGATATAACTAAGAGTGTTACAAAAGTCTAAAGACATCTACCCCAAAGTTGCTTCACTTCTTCAATTTGCTATGAGATCTTCAAAACTCTCTTTAGCATACAGGAGGTCCTTCACCCTTTAAAGGCTATGGCAAGAAAATCTAAATGCAGTCGGCCAGTGATGATTGATTTAGAGGTCAGACCTTTTAAATTAGATTTGTGACTTTATTTTTAAATAAGCTTTTTAATAAATCCAAACTTATACTATTTTTTAAACGAATCAAACCAAAGCACTGACATGCCTAGCAAGTCACCTTATTTATTTACACCCCTATACTTCCACACTTTACATTTTATTAACCTTAAAAGTTAATCATCCATCTATACTGCTTCCAACCCAATTTGCATCCGTACAAACTTCAATTTTCATATTCCCTTTATTTCTGGAGTCCCTAACCATAAGTTCCTTTCAAGTGTCTCGGGATTATTTAAATGGAGAAGGATATTGTAACAACCAAGTTGTGTTACTACCAATCAATCTCACCGTTAGATCGATTATGTTGATCCAACGTTTATATTTATTTCCATCTTTGTATGGTTATGATTCCCCATATTTAAAGTGAAAGCATTAAATATGGGAAATCATAACCATACAAAGGTGGAAATAAATATAAAGTATTAAATTTGGAAAATCATGACCATACAAAGATGGAAATAAATATAACCGTTAGATCAACATAATCAATCTAATTAGTGAGATTGATTAGTAGTAACACAACTTGGTTGTTACAATATCTTTCCCCTATTTAAATAGCTTAAAAATGATATGAACAGGGGAGTGCATGATTGATTAACCATTCCCATTGTAAAAGAGATATCAAGTCTAAGTATAAAAAAAAAAAAAAAAAAAAGATATATCAAGTCTAATGTGGGACAAGTTCATCATTTTCCCCGGTACATTCGTCTTAGCTAATTCTAGTTTAAGATTTTTTTTTTAATAAACTACATACATTCTTCACGCGAAGTAATCTTATTTGAATCCAAAATATTCATATCATGATGAGACTAATTCTGTTGGGAATAGTTTAAGATTTTGTGCAAACCCAAGCAAGCATACTTGTTTCTTCCAGTTTTCTGATTTTACGATCTTTCACGATCCCACTCCGCACCGATGTTACAATAAGATTTGGATCGTTGTTTGTCAAAAATCTTAGGATCCTACGATCTAAAATACGATTTGGACAACAATAATTGCGTAGTCTTGAGTTTGAGCTTTAGACGCGTAAATTGTCGATCCTAACCTGAATTATGAGCCAAAATATTGTGATACTTTTTTTCTAAAACAAAAAAAAAAAGTTTAATGTTTATACAAAAGTTGTCAATTAAATGAAAAGTTTTTTAGGTTGGGTTTAATCATCAATTATACATGTCATTGAGAAAATTTATAAATAAATTAAAATTAAAACTACAAAATCTTGACTCTTTACATAAAAAAGCTAGTAAATGGTAAAATGCTGAAACGCGTTTGATTTGAGAAACAATAGAAATAGTCTTATTCTCAGCAAAAAAGATATAGTCTTATAAATAAAAAACTATAAACTCACCCTAGTCGTAAGATAACTTATATTCCGTCGTATATGTTTTAGTTTGTCAAATATAAATAATTATTGTAACAACTATTTAATTCCAATATAAGACGTATTCGAATCGATAGAAAATAAGAAAACAATATATATACAAACAGTTTAAAGGTGATCTCGTGTTATGCGTGGAAGGAAGACTCAGACAAGTACAACTTGTTCATTCACTCATTGACTATTATTTTTCAAGGGAATTTAGTATACTTTATTAGAAGCGTTATGGAATATTTTCACATGGACAAACTCCATGTTGGTCCGCGGATACACATTAATTTGACTGGGTGCTATGTAAGCTAATTAAAGGGAATACTATAGCAGAACTTAGAATGAGTCGTTGATACCTTTGAATAAACATTAAGAAATAGAATAAATAGGATAAATCCTCCATTTAACATCAAAGTCAAACCGTCTATTTTGAAGGTATAACATTATTTTAAGGAAAAAATATTTATCATTTTAAAAAATATAATTTTACGTCACAGGAAAAAAAAAAGCAACCATGTTTTAGTGTATATCTAGGAAGCACCGACACTTCAAAAACCCTGACGTGTCGTGTCTGACACGTGTTATAGAAATTCAAAAAAATGTTCAAAGATTGCGTTGCGTTGAGTTTTTAGTTTCAACTATTAGATTCGTTGAATTTCGATTACCATTTTATTGAGTTTAATATAAATATTTGGAATATCTTATATTTCTTTGCAAAATTGATGAATATTATAAGTTTAGTTTCATTTTTTTGTTAAATTATTGAATATTTTATTTAATATCAAAATGTGTCCTAACGTGTCGAAATCTAATATTTTTTAGAATTAACGTGTCGGAGTGTCGTGTCGTATCGTATTACGTGTCCCGTGTCAGTATCGGTGCTACATAGGTGTATATACATTGGTCTTTTATATTCTCCAGCTTCCACAAAATTAAAAAAAGAAAGAAAAAGAGAGCATTATGGAGAAAAATATGTAAAAAAAAAAAAAGAAGGTCGTTTCACTTGAAAAAGATAAATATTTGCCCCTCATTTTAATATTATAAAATCATTCAAGAGGGGGGGGGGGGGAATCTTCTTTCCTCAAGGACACAAGAGATTTCCAAGAAACAGATAGGCTGAGAAGACAAGGAAATTTTAACATTAAAAGAAAAAAAAATATATTTATAGCACTTAATCTTACCTAATAAACTACTTTCATATACGGTTTATTCTATCATAAACAGTTCAGAAGTCAGAATAGGCCTTCAATTAATCCCTTGTTGATGATCCTTCACCTTTTCTGAAATTATTACAAATTCTCCTACTAAGAACATGGATTTTTCTAGGCTAGTTAAACATCAGTTATTAGCTATCATCTTCATTTCCATCACCCTAACCAAAGTTAGTTGCTTTTATTTCAATTTCCCTACCTTCCAACCAGAGGATGATGCTGAATTATTGCTGAGCAAAAACTCAAAAATATACTTAGAGGCTATCCAAATAACCCCTGATATTCGTGGTGTAATAGCGAACTATTCTGGACGTACTTTCTACAAAAAGCCATACAAACTTTGGAGCAAGAAGAAGAACAAAATTGCTGATTTCAACACCACTTTTGTGCTTAACATTGGTCCCCAAACTTCACCTGGTGGAGAAGGCTTGGCCTTTATCTTAACTTCAGATACCACTCTCCCAGAAAACAGTTCAGGTGAATGGCTAGGTATTGTAAATGCTTCAACCAATGGAACTTCTCAATCTCCAATTCTTGCAGTGGAGTTTGACACACGAAAAAGTTTCACTGAAGATGGCCCCGACAACCATGTTGGCATCAACATAAATAGCATCTACTCAATAAAACAGGTACCTTTGATAAACTATGGGATCAATGTTTCATCTGGTATAAATGTAACGGTGAGGATTCAGTATTCCAATGATATAATATCTGTTTTTGGTTCCATGAATGGAACTTCAGAAGAATTTATGGAGACCCTTTTGGTATCTCCACCTCTTAATCTATCTTCCTATCTTCAAGAAGAGGTTTATCTTGGTTTCTCTGCTTCAACAAGTATATACACCGAGTTGAACTGTGTAAGAGCATGGGAATTTAACGGTATAGATATTGCAAATGATAATAAAATTCTATTGTGGATTTGGGTCACGGTAATTACAACTGTGATTACTATTATCATATGTGGGGTGGTTTTTTTCTTGGTTTGGAAAAGGAAACAAAGCATGGAGAAGCCAGAGGATGCATTTCCAAGAATAGAGGATCAAATTCAATACTCATCTATGGCTCCAAAGAAGTTTCGGTTAAGGGAAATCACAAAAGCAACGGGTGGTTTCAGCCTTCAAAATAAGCTTGGTCAAGGTGGTTTTGGAACAGTGTATAAGGGTCTATTGGAAAACAAGGAGATAGCTGTGAAGAGAGTTTCAAAGAACTCACGTCAAGGTAAGCAAGAATTCATAGCTGAAGTAACAACAATTGGAAGCCTTCACCACAGAAACCTTGTGAAACTCACAGGGTGGTGCTATGAGAGCAAAGAGCTTCTCCTTGTCTATGAGTTCATGCCTCATGGAAGCTTAGACAAGTACCTCTTTGGTGATGATAACAAGTTTGGTAATGACACACTGAATTGGAAAATTAGACACAGTATAATACATGGGGTGGCTCAAGCATTGGACTATCTTCACAATGGTTGTGAAAAGAGGGTTCTTCATAGAGACATCAAAGCCAGCAACATAATGTTGGACTCAGAATTCAATGCAAAATTGGGTGACTTTGGTTTGGCTCGTACAATTGAGAAGAGAAATGAAACTCACCATTCAACAAAAGAGATTGCAGGAACACCAGGTTACATGGCACCTGAAACCTTTCTCACAGGAAGGGCAACAGTGGAAACTGATGTTTATGCATTTGGTGTGCTTGTGTTGGAGGTTGTGTGTGGAAGGAGGCCAGGGGATTTGTGTTCAGAGGATGACTACAAGAACAGCATTGTGTATTGGGTGTGGAAGCTTTATGGCAAAGGAACAATAGTTAGTGCTGTGGATAAAAAGATGAGTAAAGAGGAAGAGATAAAGGAGGAAGAAGTGGAAAGTGTGCTTGTTCTTGGTTTGGCTTGTTGCCATCCAAACCCACATCAAAGACCATCTATGAGAACTGTTTTGCAAGTTCTCAATGGGGAAACACCTCCACCTATGGTACCTAAGGAAAGACCTGCTTTTGTTTGGCCTGCAATGCCTCAATCATTCAAAGAAGGTGAAGATACCTCACTCATCCAAGGATCAGCCACTCCAATATTCTCTGATATCAGTGGCAGATGAAATCATTTGCTTTTTAAGATCATCATCATTTTTTATATATCAATCAATATGTACAGAGATGATAAATATGTGTTTTAGCTTGATATATATAGAGAGAGAGATACTTTGCACACAATTTTTTTTTTCTTGTGTAAGATTACATTCAACCCTTGCATATATGGGTTTTGTTGCTGGATGAATGATTTCTACTTCCATGTACTTGAAACCCATGTGTTTTTTTTTTTTGCATAATTTTATATATGATCTATTTTCATTATGGTACATTGGCGCTAGAGGTGGCAAAATGGGTTGAACTCGACGGTCAACCAGTGGCGGATCCAACCCCGAATCTTTTTTGCAATCAATCCTCTCTTTTCATAAAAATGAAAAAGAAAACAAAGGATAAAAAGAGCATGGGAAACGAGTACGTGACAGGGGAGAAAGAATAAGTTTTCTCTCTAATTAATTTGCGTTGCTACATTAATTTAATCATCTATGTACGTTACTACGTTACTAACTAATATAAGAATAAATATCTTTTTTGGTCCCTAACAAAAATCTCTATTCACACTTTAGTCTATTATAAAAAGAATTAGTCACCTGATCCATATGAAATTCAAAGTTGACTCATTTTGGTCTTTTTGAGGGACTAATGTAGGTCTTTTTTGAATTTATGAGAGACCACGATTTTAACTAAATTGATCCACTTTAAGATTTTTAGGGACCTCGAGACTAATTTATTTTTGTAAGGGACTAAAATGGAGACCATATTTTTTGTTAGGGACTTAAAGGAGTATTTACTCTTAATATATATATTGAACCAAGAGACAAATAACCACCAACAATCAAGAAGAAAGAAGAAAAAAAAAAACTGAAGTAAAATTTTTTATGACCGCGCTTGTGGGCATTTGCCGCAAGTGGGTCCGCCACTAGGGTCAACCTGCCAAAACGTGGCGGGTTGGGTTACATATTTCAACTCACCAACCCGCCTCAACCCGCCCCGTTGGGTTGTGGGTCAAAACGAGTTGGCGGAGGGTTGGGGTGGGTTGGCCAGCGGGGTCAAATTTTTTATTTTTTATTTTACTATTAGGTAGTATTTTATTTATTTTTAAGCTTTTGTGATATCCAATTTTTTGTCATCTTAGTACTCTCTATAAAAAAATATAAAAGAAAAATTGTATTTATGACAAAGGTAATTTATATATGGAGATAAAAACAAGTTTGTAAAGAATATCTGACTAAATATTAGCATATATTTAGACGTAAGATTGAAAAAAAAATTAAGGAGAATGTAATATGAAAATAAGTAATATTATAATATTAATAAGGGAAAAATATTTCTTCAGTTAGTGCAGAGAAGTTATCTGCATTTATTCCCAAAACGACGTCGTTTTGGTATTGAAATCTTAAAAAATTATAAATATAAATACTATTATAACCCTGAAATAAATTAAAATTACAAAAACACCATAACTTTTGCCCCAAAATGACAGTGTATTGGGCTTACTGCAGATAATTTATCTACAGTAACTGCAGAAAAAACAAACCTATATAAAATATAATTTATTTGTTATTTTTAATTATTTTTTATTTTTTAAACAGGTTGATCCGCTAACCCGCCAACACAACATAAAATGAAGCAGGTTGAAGTTTTCAACTCAAATTCAAAATGCGAGACGGAACGGAACGGACCAACCCACTTTTAACGGGTTGGCGATGGGTCAGAGCAAACCGACCCGTTTTACCACCTGTAATTGGCACCGTTCAGAATGTTAGATCGTTGCGTCTACAAAAGTAATAATAAAAAGTTACTCAGAGTACCCCAAAAAAAAAAACAAGTTACTCAACAATAGTATAGAACGAGAATGATTTTGTAACCTTACGGAGGGAATGGAAATCCATATCATCCCGGAAATCCATATTTATTGTTGCGCGATGATAGTATAGTACCACAAAAAAATTAAAATAAAATAAAAAATTGAATCAAGCTAAGTCTAATTCATGTTCCTCGATTCTATATATTATTTAACATAATCATGTCATTTGAGAGGATCTAACTATATAAAAATAAATCAATAATGATAAAAGAAAATTAAGAAAAAATATTAGAATAGAAAGTTATAAAATTATTACCATTAATTTATTCATTAATAGTTAAAATCATCTCACAATATGCCGTCACTTAAAGAAGATTCATTTCCACTTCACTTGATTTGAATTTTTGAATTTTTTTTTTAAAAAAAAAGTGTAGGCAAGTAGAGCTGTAAAAGTTCAGACTAGGACAAACTTTGATCTTAATAGCATAAGCCTATGTAAAATCTTTGAAGCCTATACTAATTTATTAGTATATTAATGCTTGGTTTATATAGGGCTGAGTTGGTCTATTGTAAAAAATGAAAAGCGTAACATGGCTTTTAAAACCTTCTAGGCCTACAAAGTTTCAAAACAAATTAAAATAAAAAAAAAAATTCTTCATTGATCAAATAATGTTTCCAATAAGAATCCAAATTATAAAAATTCTCAAATATATTTGTTAACATATCACAATGATCCTTAAACAATGTTTATAACAATTCGTAAAATAATTATTGTTTGGAGTTTTTTCTTTGCCCTTGTCTGTCTTCGTAAATATATTATTTTATTAAAATAAATTAAAAAATCAGCAACAAGCTTTTAGGTCAACTTTTTAAAGAGAGTCTATGACTTAATTTTTAAACGAGTTTTGCTAAAATTCTAAACCGGCTCTATTATCTAAATAAATTAGGTCAAATCAAACTAAAGGTAAATTAGGTTGTAAGTTCATGAGAAGTAGTCTGACTCGTTTACACTGTAGGTAAGGTTTGACTTGAAAGAGAGGAAATACGCCGTGTTTCATATGAAAAGGAGGAAGCCCTTGTCTTGGAACCGAAACCGAAACCGAAACCTCGCGGAGAATGCATAATGGGCCAGTACTCAAGGCCCATAAACCCAGTAACTGATGCCAAAATGATGTTGGGCCTTGAAATGAAAAGTAAGTGTAGAATTGATTCCAAACCCTAATCCCTCCCCTTTAAATAGTTTTCGTTCTTCACAGTCCTCTCTCATTCATTCGAAGTTCATACTTGGTTGTTTGGTTCTTTCCGTGTTGTTTTTGTTTCTGTTTCTGTTGCTGTTGTTTTTGTTTTTGTTCCTCGTTAATCTTCTGAATTCCGTCTTCTAGTTTGAAAATCACATGATGAATTTGGATTTAAATTTTCTCACGACGGTCGTCTGAGATTCACTTGATGCAACAATCCACTATTTCTGATGGTTTTCGTTTCTTTTCTCCTTTCTTCGTTGTCATAAAGAAAATTCTTCGTCTTCAATTTTCGTTCTTCGTCTTCAATTTTTGTCACGAAGAAAATGCATCGTGGGATAGTTTATTTTACCATTTTTTTTTTTCGGCTTATCTTTATCTATCATTGTTTAATGGGATAGTTTATTTCATTTTAAATGAAATAAAGTTATGTTATTTTAGTAGAGATACACAAAATAATATTTTTAAATAAATTTAAAATAACAAACATAAAACTCTTAATTTAATTAATATTATTAAATCAAAATATCAATTACCTTATTATTATTTTTCTCATGGATTGAAATTTTGATATTTTGTCTTCTATTGAAATTCTGATATGTCAAAGAATGATAGGAATAGTAGATAAAAAAAAAATTAGCTAGAATATGATGGCTTTTTCACTCTTTTGTTTCTCATTAATTATTTAATAATTATTTTGCCTCTCATTCAGAACTATCTATCAATTTGTTCCTCTTTAATCGCTTAAGTCAAAAATTTAATTGATTAAGTGATCAAAATAGACAAAAATCATTGACTTAAAAATTTAGTCGATTAAATCTTTCTATTTAATCTACTAAATCTCCTATGCATAAGATTATTCTTCTGATTAAGTTGAAAATTTAATCGATTAAGTTAAAGATTTAATCGCCATTTAATCGATTAAATTTAATTTATTAAATATTCAATTTAATCGATTAAATATTTAAATATTCTTGTAACATAAGAAATTATTTGCCCATAGTTAAATGGGATAGGTTTATTTAGGTCACTACATATATAAAAGCTTATTTAAAAAGCTTACAATGCTAGTCCACTAGCTTATTAAGAAATATATTTATTGACTTTCTAAATATATTTATTGACTAATAATTTTGAAATGCTTAGTCCAATGACTCATTAATTAGCCTACAAAATAGAATTTCAGATTTAGCTAGGCATTTTTTATTTTAAAAAAAAAACGATGTTAGTTATCAAGTTGTGGAACAGGATATACATCAATTAAGTTTATCACTTCTTACCAATAAATCTTAACCGTTGATTTTCGTTAATATGATGGTTATAATTTATTATGAATTAATAATTAATTAATAAGTGTCATCCAATAAATTATAACTATTAGATTAACAGAAATCAATAATTAAAATTTAATAATAGTAATAAGTGATCAACTTAATTAGTGATAAGTGAATTCCTCCTTAAGTTAGAGTAGGGATATTCTCACTATCAAAATCTTTCACTACCAACTTACTACCTATCTAATCACTATTAGATTAATATTTTCTCTCTCTTCAAATATTTTTAACATTCTCTCTCTTTGATCCAATGATGATGTAATAGGTAATAAAATAAGTTAGTAGTGAAATTTTTTTATAGTTAGAATATCTTCACTCCCTTAGGTTATTCCCATGCCTTATCTTTAGGCTTTTTGACCCTTATGCCCCTTAATTAATAATTAATTACCAAATTGCCCTTCATTCAAAACTATTTCGAAAATTTACCCTCCCCAACAAACATAACACCAATCTGCCCATGTTTGACCGTTGACCACGAAGCCTACCCGGGTACATCATTACCTACCCGGGTAAATTTTGAAACTTTTTATCTACCCGAGTATGTAGGGGTGTACCCGGGTAGAGTTCTTGAATCTGGGAAAATGTTTGAATTATTTACCCGGGTAAGGAGCAGTGTACCCGGGTAAACATCGACGGTAGGGTTTTAAAATACCCCAGCAGCCCCATTTCGAAAACCCACAAAAGGGGTACCCGAGTAGAGCTGCTGGAGGAGTGTCTTCTTGAGCGATTTCAGGCATAATCTTGCACCAATTCGTCTTGTTTGTGATCATCATTCGCGGACCTTGCAACCTCTCTGCCTTCTACCGATTGAAATCGATCAAAGGTGCATTTTTTTTTCAGTTTTTTCAATTATGTTATGATTTCTGTTCTGATTCATTGTATTTTCGTTTATATCATTTGATTCTGTCCGAATTATTTTATCAATTTGTATGTCATACGCTTACCCTAACCCTAACCCTAACCCTGAATCTAACCCTAACCCTAACCCTAACCCTAACCCTAACATGTATCTAATTTCTGATTTTGGTTATTTTTTCAGTTTAATAGTGTGACACAATGACCTCTCGACGCGTTTCAAAGCTGCCAGTGACCCATTCCGAGAGAAGAACCAAGAGTCGTCACGATGGGTCGTCATCCTCTCAGCCCCAGGCTGCTTCGAGTCAGGCTCCGGACTTGACGTTCGGATATTTGTTTGAGGATGATATACCTTCACACGAGAAGTTCGTGAAGTTTTTCATGACCCGGAAGATCTGCGAACCAAAATCACTGGATTCGGCATTCTTCAACCTAGAGCGTTTTGACATTGTGCCGCTTCTTGAGCAGACACATTTACTTCACCTGGCGGAGATGCGGTGCCCATACTCGGAGGTTATGGTAAGAGCCTTCTACCAGAACCTTGGCTACTCGCAAGGCGAGCTGACTTCCCGTGTCTGCGGGATTGATATCATCATGACTGCTCCTATCTGGACGGAGCTACTGGGGTTCGATTTTGATGGTGTCACAGGAGCAGCACTATATGATGGAGACAGCCATCATATATTTGGTGATTATAACCGGGAGACCATTGTTACAGAGACTAGGAGGGCAGACGCTGAGCCCGGTCATTTTGCTCATTATCCTGTTAGCAACTTGTCAGTTTCTGCTCGCATTCTTCATTATGTGGTGACACATATTATTTTCCAGCGCCCGCATAATCACTCAAAGGTGCTGGAAGGGGACTTTGTCATCCTGTGGGCCCTCCTTCACAGTCAGCAGGTGAACTGGAGGCATTACATATGCATACTGATGTGGAAGGCAGCCAAGTCAAAGAAGGCTGAATTGCCTTTTGCATTTCTGGTGCAGAAGATTCTGCATAGATTTGGAGTGCCTATGGCAACAGAGACCTTGAAGACCGCCAGAGGCTGGAATGCTATATTTGGTGAGAGGCTCCTGAAGCAGTGTGGGATCCTACCGAACAGAGCGGGTATCTGGATGTGGAAGAAGGCACCAGAACCACCTGAGATCCCATTCCACCACGATGCTGAGATGGAGGATGCACCTGCAGGTGATGTGTTGGTCTTTATGAGTTTATGCAATTTTGTGTTGTTTAATTTTTAATGTGGTATTGAAGTTTGTTTTTCATGGTTTATGATGTAGGCCTTGATGATGATGACGATGATGATGGCGTTGCTGAGGTTGATGTCAGACCGACACGTCCCACCCGCAGTCGGCGACCACCAGCTCCTCCTGAGGGTGGATGGACACTTGATCATGTCATGGCATCCATATATGATCTGACTACTGACTTTAGAGGATATAGACAGAGCACGAGCAAGTGGCGAAACCAGATGGACACAAGGGTTGCACGGTTGGACACAAGGGTTTCACGCTTGGAGGGTTTAATTGGCGAGGGTGCCCATACTCAGGAGGAGGAGGAGGAGGAGGATGACAATGGGGATGACACACAATCGGATGAAGAGAATGGGGAGGACACGCCATCGGATTAGTGTGTCCATAGGGTTTCATATCATTGATTTAGTTTGATGTAATGTAGTCATTTTGGTACATTTAGGAACTTTACCTACATTGCATGGATGTTTTTGTACTGGATGTTCAAAATTTGAATGAATGAAATTTTCGTTTTGCGCACGTTCAGACTTGTTGGTTCTATGTATTAGTATGGGACCTTGCATTAATATTGTCATAATTAATTTGGAAATCAATTCAACTCAAAGTACTTTAATATTCATGTTCAACTTTCATTGGCGCACATCTTGATTACTGCATCCTATTTCTACGAAATCAATCCACCCCCAAGTCATACCGTATGTAGGTATTGCACAACAATTACCAAAATGCAACAAAAATTGCCAAAACAGCATCTGCAACAGCATCTGCAACTGGTCTACCCGGGTACCACGAACTGGTCTACCCGGGTAGGATGTACTCGGGTATATCATTACGAGTTACCCGGGTAGACCAGTTGCAGATGCAGCAGCAGGTGCTGTTCAATCCATTTTGTTTGCATCTTGGTAATTGATGTGTAATACAATAACCTTAAATCAATGTATGCCTTCTGACCCCATTTTTTGAAGAATTCTCTCCTTCAGTTCATTGCATGTAGTGCCCACTTTGATTTTCATCGTTTTTGTTTTTCCTTCAAATCGGACACCATTCGGACCTTCAAAATGCCTCCCATTGTAGTAAATAACTATAGGAACCATGTTTGGACTTGAACTCATCTTTCACACAAAAATTAGATCTAGGTTTTGGGTTTGGAGGTTGGTTCGGATTTTTTAGCACAAAATGGGAGTGTGGAGATGTAATCTCAATGTCCCACCAAGATTCAGCTTTCTGAAATGATGAGATGAAATATGTGTGATGTTTCGGATTAGAGAGGGTAAGAGAGAAAGATTTGGGGTTTCAAAAACCCTATACCTCGCAACAATGGCCAAAACCCATACATATTGGGGTTTCTGGACGCGATTTACCCGGGTACACTGCTCCTTACCCGGGTAAATAATTCAAACATTTTCCCAGATTCAAGAACTCTACCCGGGTACACCCCTACATACTCGGGTAGATAAAAAGTTTCAAAATTTACCCGGGTAGATAATGGTGTACCCGGGTAGGTAATGGTGTACTCGGGTAGGCTTCGTGGTCAACGGTCAAACAGGGGCAGATTGGTGTTATGTTTGTTGGGGAGGGTAAATTTTCGAAATAGTTTTGAATGAAGGGCAATTTGGTAATTAATTATTAATTAAGGGGCATAAGGATCAAAAAGCCCTTATCTTTAAGATGGTAAATTTTAGTGTTATTCTAATCATCAGTGGATCAAGGTGGTTGATGGGTGCAAGCTAATTCGTAACAGTGGAAAATTGGTTCTAAATTGAGAAATTCTAATGTGTGTGCAGGGCATCAAATATCTAAAAGAATCTGTTAGTTGCAAAGTGCCTTGGTTTTAAATCAGATCAGGGGATTATCATTCTTCAAAAAGAATTTCATCTTTCTTGATGACATAATACAATTCCAAATTCCAATAAAACAAGTGTAACAACTGCTATTTAGAATTTAAATTACGTTTAATTTATCTTTATCTTAATTAGTTTTAAGTTTATTTTATCTTATCTCATTAGCATAATTAATTATTTTATTTGAAATTATGTTATTGGATATTTTGCTTCATATATTAGTAAATGTAAATGGCTACAAATAGATAGTCCACCAACCATAAGAGGAATCAATAAATAAATTAAGAAATCACAGTCTTCCTTTCAAATTATCTCTTCTCTCTTAGTCTTTCTCTTATTATTCTCATTCTTCCCTTGTCTTTCCCTTATTCTTGATCTAACTTCTCTCTCACTCTCCTCAATCATTCTCCTTTTCCCCTAATATCCCCTCCTAATTTCTATCCATACAACAAGTCTCAATCTTTCTTCCATGAGAGAAAAAGCCCATCAATCTGATATAATACATCCAGTAGAAGAGAAGGGGGGTGGGTGTTGCTGGTGATCATGAATTACAGAAGTAACATGTCTTTCTTGAATTGAACCAATTGCCAATCAATATTACAACAATTGTGAATTTAAGCCAGTGATGTTTAGATCTTTCATGTTATTTCAGTGATGATGTTTTTAAAATAGATTGACTGGATTCCACAATCTAATGCCAAAGTCCTGTAGTATGAGTTCTTGCACATGCTGATAGCACTCAACAAATTTCTTCTACTTAAATCTACAGATATCCAGAGTACTGCAACCAGCAAAATTTGAAAACATCATGACTAAGGATGCATTAATATGAAAAAATAATGCAATGTTAGGAAGCTTTTTAGGTCTTAAGGTGGTAATGATAAAAAATAAAAAATTAATATTATGTTTCAACTCATTGAAACGCCCAAATTGCTGAGGTACAAAATTTTTGTTCTTATGTTTAATGATATATGCAGTAGAGGACTCACCAGCTTGTCATGGGTCATGATAGCATATGATGATCCAATGTATAAGCATGAGTATCAGAAGGACTAGTACCAGGCCTAACAAAAACCACAGGAAAAAATAGAACATATGAGCAATAATAGGTCTAGGTAGCAAAGTAGCAAAAATACTCAACAACCTAATGTTTTCAGTATTTATGATTTTTTACAGCATTTATCCCAAAACATAAATGACATGAACAGTTATGAGGCATCAGATGTATGCAGCTAAGCTGGGCAACAGAATTATTGCTAAACAGAAGTACAATTACTTTTTAAAATGTTAAATAACTTTCTTCCCTCAAAACAGACAAAGTAGAAAAATGAACTTTTGGGGAAAAATTCTAAACTTGAGATGAAAATACCTTTTGTTAATAGTGCCATAATGGAATTTGGGCTTTCCTGCCTTAATATCCTCAACATACTGCAGCCAGGACAAAAAACACCATAAGATACATTATGAGTAAGTAAAAATAATAAGAACCAAGAGCATACAAAATGTTCAAATATCTGAACCATACCAAACTTAAAGTAACCATCATTGATGAAAAAGATAGAGAATTAAATGGTATTTCATTTAGCGAAAAAAGCTGGCATTCTAATGATTCTGGACCAGGTGAAAAATGGGGCTTCTTCAGCTTTGCTAGGAAGATTATATAAGTCTGCCTCAAACATGCCACAATCAGTTAATCACAACAAAAAATCTCTAGCTTGACAGGAGAAGATCAACAAAAAAGTGGGGGGGGAAACCAAAGAAATAAATGCTTCTTGCTCACTTGGCCAATTAAAGGAATATCCAATTGAGCAAAGGGAGAAATTACTTCCACATCAGCATTGGCTTCCTCCCTTGTTTCTCTGATAGCACCTTCCATAGCTGACTCTCCAATTTCCAAATAACCAGCTGGAAGTGTCCTTGTTGACAAGAAGATATGAAATTAACATAGCTCACCGATGATAAGAGAAGCAGTTTATAAACAGATTTCAGGAAAAGGAATGTCATAGTAACTGGATCAGATCACTCAGAAAAAGTATATGTACTTTAGTACTATTTATTAGTAGTAGGCTTGGGCTTGTACTAGTAGTAGTAGTGCTTAAACTAATTTATAGTTCCCTTTTTCCTTTTCCTTGTTTAAACCAACACAAAGCCTTAGATTGGGAGCTCTGATACCAATTGATAAGAACTAGCAGAAAAGTGTATGTTATGTAATATTTCACTATAACCACTGATATCAGTGTGATATCAGCAGCTATAAAGATGGATTTACAATGGATTACAAGATTGAATTGAAGGAAAAAATACAGTAACACAGGGCATTTGAGAGCCCTAATCTCTCCTTCCCATTCCTTTGTCACTACTACCTTAACTTCTCTTGCTACCCTTTCTCATTTTATATTTCTCTGCTGTACCTTACAACAGAATTTCCCTCCAATTTCCCCCAATGATCTCCTACAATTCGTCCTATCACACACCCTCAAGGTAGGAAGTTTCCTAACAGAATGTAACCCAAATCAATGAAAATGTGCAGTTCAAAAGGAAGTCCATTCATACCATAGGCCATAAGATGGCTCAATCTTCCGCTTGCAAAGGAGGACCTTGTTATCATGTTCAATGAGGCAGCCAACTACCTACTTTGCCATCCAAACTCATGTCATGTTCAGTAGAATGTAGTAAGTGCTAGGACAAATAGCATACAACAATTATAGTAATTTCTCCAAACAAAAGTCAGAGAATACATCTCAAAACATAGAATCTTCGTCCAAATCCTTAATTGGTTTTGCATTTACACTGCCAATTTTGTGAAAAATATAATTACTTTAGAGAATGAGACTGATTTGTGAATACCACTTCTGTATCGTATCGCAGGATACGCATCGTGTTTCATGCGATACTAACAACTACAAATACAACCAATCTGTTTCCTCAGATCAACGAATGCTGGGCAAAGTCAAAATTCAACCACTTAAAAAGCCATAACATTAAAAATAACAAGTGATAGACCTGTGACCAAAGTATATACTAAGAGAAATAACAATGATAATTTCTAAGTTTATATTGTGTATGCACTGTATACCACATCCTAACTGTCAAACACTTCCAGTGTAAAGGATCATCCTAAATCAACTTGGATTAAGTTTCGGTTATCCATAAAGCTGCACTATTTTCCATATTATTACAACTAAAACAATAGCCTCCAAACCCTCCTTTTGAAAACTTCAACAGTAAACAATTTCTGGTGTAAAATAATAAATATAATTAGGTGTCAGAAAAAGGATCTCTTATGCATATCCTTGTTCAAAACTTAAAAGTAACCTTAGTACTGATTATGGGATAAAATGAAGCCTTAACCTAATTTTAAGGGTAAAATTATTCAATAAAATAAAATGTTCAAATCAGATGTCAAAACTCAACATTTCAGAACATGATACATGAAAGAACAACTAAAACCAATTTCATTTTGCATAAATGTGTAACATGCTTCTTACACAGCTACTGTAAAGAACCTTGGGATACACCATCCCAAAAGCTAACTCAAAGGGTGGGAGTGTCCAAGACCTTATAAACTCCACATTAGTTGCACATACAACCAATGTGGGACTATATATCTCAACACGCCCCCTCACACGAGAACCCACTGGGTTTGAAGGGTGGACAACATACAAGCCCACCTACATGTAGAAATTCTACTACAAAGAAAGTGGGAGGCGGTGAGATTCCGATGGCTCTGACACCATGTTAAGAACCTTGAGGTCACCACCCCAAAAGCTAGCTCAAAGGGTGGGAGTGTCCAAGGCCTTACAAACTCCACATTAGTTGCACATACAACTAATGTGGGACTATATATCTCAACAGCTATCATCATGACATTCCACTTAAAAACAGTGACACTGTTTGTAAATTATTCAGTACAGGTAAATTGCCAATAAGCATAAAAATTATCTCTTATTTCTGTACAAGCACTAAATTAAATTAACTGAAAGGTTCTGTGATTTTTTAGGCATTTACCATTTTTGGATTCTGATAGGCAATTTTCCCACAACTTGTGCATATAGCTCTCAACCTTTCTTCTCCTTCAGGTCTATCATGCTTTGTTGAACCACCACACCACTGACAGAACTTAATGTTTTGAACATTTCCCTACATTGCAATGGAACTCAACAATATGTACTAAAGCGAAAAGATAGATGCTTATAAGATATGTACGACAATTATTGAGATCAATAATTTTAAGATTTTGACAGTGTCAAAATATCTATTTAATTGAGAACGTGGAAAATCAGCAATTAATATCAAAAGTTTGTTAGAAAAATATAATATGAAAATATTGATGGAACTTGACTTAACAACTTAAGTTGTTGGGTTAAATTGGTTATTTTACATGGTATTAGAACCCTATGACTAAATGATAATGAGTTCAAATCTCACCGCCCCCATTCTATTAAAAACTATTGATGGATCTTCACTTAACAGATTGATTGCTTTACACAATCCATTATGCAACTATATTATCTGAAAAAGGTGGCAACAACTAAACACCAACCTCATAAAGATTTCAAATCTTACATACTCATCAAACTTAATTGTACCTGTAAGTGCAATTAGAATTTAGAAGCACACTAGACTAGAGAATTTTAGGTTCAACAAAGTAAATAACATAGATATAAAGATTGATTTTCTGTAGTTTGAAACTGTAAAGAATCAACTCAACCCAAAAGAGTTTTTGGGTTGAATTAGTTCTTTATATAGTATAAGAGCTTTGGTATCACGGGTTTGATCCACACTGCCCCTACTTTCTCTTATTAAATTTTTTAGCACAGGTAGGCTGAGCCTGATGCATCATACCCTTCAAGCTCAATGAGCTATTGTGTGAGGGACGTGTTAGAGATATATAACATAAATGCAGCCTCACCCACCAGGTTAAGCTTTTGGGTTGAATTCAAGCAAGGGTGATATTCATCGTTGTAATTCAATTACTCAATTCAGTTTGAACTTTAATTTTTTAATATATATATAGAGAGAGAGAGATAGGATCCTTTGATAGTCAAATTTGAAATTTGACACCTCATCTAAGAGCTGTTAGATCAAAAAAGATCAATAGTGTCACATGTTTACAAATCAGAGTCGTTGATCTTTTTTTATCTAACGGTTCTCAGATGAGGTATCAAATTTCAAATTTGACACTGGTGTGAAAGGATCCTTCCTCATATATATATATATATATATATATAGCATACCTTCCGAGAATATGTATATATATAAGCTCAGAGTAGTTCTTTACAAAATATAAAAAGCTATGTAATCTCAAATTTATAATAGAAACCAAAGACCCGTATAAATAACTTTAACATTTATATAGACACACTCACAGGAGAATGATGTGATGATGAGGTGTCATCCGAAGTAGCTGAGAAGGAAGAAGAATCCATGGTGGGAACCAGTTAGAAAGAAGGGTATGGGGAGAATGATTCAAATGAAATTGAGGAGAAGAGCCCTTGATTGCTACGAGGTTTCCAACGTTGAGTAACAAACACTGATGAACAACCCAGAATCTTAAAAGCTTTCTGCATATTAGACTGTAGAGAGAGAACAGATAATGACATTTGAGCAACAATAATATCCCATGTTTGAAGGGTTTATGCTCTCTCGGCAAGAAATAAAGTTAACCCCAAAATTACATTATTTTGGGTTGTAAGAATTAATAAAATATTTTTATATAAAAAATTGTAACAAGCAACAAATTTTAAAGGGATTGATGGAAATAAATTTATATCATGTTAATAGAAAAATGATAAATCGTATTTCTAACATTAACAAAAAAGAACAAAAGAGTACAGTTGATAAAATCTCCGGGCCTATTTGAATTTTGTTTTTAAAAATAATTCTTTGGTTTTCTAAATTAAAAGAAAAAAATGTATTTGATAACACCTGCTTTATAAAGATAATTCTAAAAATTATAACTGTTTTTTGGTTTTTAGAATTAAATTTGAACAACATGTTTTAGTTATTTTTATTTTGTGTTTTGACTTTTAAGTTTTAAAACAAACAAAAAACAAAAATTACGTATTTCATTAATTATTTTATAAAATAATTTAAAAAACAAACGGAATACAATCAAAGAGACCCTCCATGTCTGACTTTTCTCTTCGCAAAATTATTTCATTCGAATTATACATTATTAAGGTAACATTTTCTTAAGGTGAATTTATATTTAAAATAAATAAATAAGGATGTATTTATATTTCAATTTAAATTAGTTGAGATTACTATGTATTTTAAATTAAATTGAAAATAAATACACTTTTTATTTTCTAACTTTTTAAATAAATTTTTTATAAGAATTTTTTATGTAAATGTATAAAATAAGTAACTATTTCCCTGTTTTAATAAGTGGGAAATGAATTAAGAAAATTACATGAATTATACATAATCTGGCTGCACTTTATTAAAATGTCAATCATTACATCTACCAAAAAAAATGACAATCGATACTTTCAAGTGATTCAGCCGCTTGCTGTCTGATTGCCTTACTCCTCTCTCCTTTTTCTGCAATATTTTAGTTTCTTTCAAATGATGTGTTTCTCTCGATGGTGAAGCAAATATGTTAAATTTGATTAGAGGAGATCAAATTTTAAGTTGAAATGATGCAAATTCATATACCAGCTTCAAGGCCGAATTTCTATTGGGTCCTCAAATTATTATAGGACAAATTATGTTTAATTGGCTCCCTTAATCGATCAATTATAAAGTATAGTAAAAAAAAATCAAAACTAATTCCAAAGCAAGATAACTTACGAGAGTTGTTATTAATTATTTCTTTCCTAAGCAACACTTCTATTGGAAGTTGTTATGAGAATAGTTAATATATCTTTGTATTTTCATGCTTTTAGTTTTATGTATAGATAAGAAATATTCATTTATATTGATTTTCTTTCATTATTCAATTTCTCTCGTTCTCATACTTATCACGCATCATTTCTCTACAACATTTTTTTTTTTTAAAAAAAAAGGGGCAAATCAACTAGGAAGCAATTGGCTCACTCTTACAAATCACAAGTAATGTAATATACCCAAATCTAACGTTTAATTGACTTTATGAAAACCAACAATTTTTTTGAAAAATAAACTGATGATTAATGCAGTAAAAATTTCATAACTACTGCCTGCTTATAATTTAACTCGTTTAGTGGCATCTAGGTCTTCCAAAGATTATATGATGATTCCATTATAAAAGAGAGACAGAAAACTAGCTTTTTTTTAAAAAAAAAAAAAAAAAAAAAAAAAAAAAAAAAAAAGACTCAGTAAGTCTTGAAATATGTGATTTTTTTGATAAATTTTAATGAATATTTAATGTAATTGATGTTAATTGTTGTAATCCTTCAATAATTAATTTATACGCAATACTCGATTTCAATCAAAATTTGACAACACTTGACTAAAAAAATAAAAAATTTAAATTTTAAAAACAGAAAAAACAATAAATTAATAAAATAAATAATAAAAAGGGAATTAATAGAGAATAATACAGAGAAAAAGGCTATACTTTACATCTATGAAACCACTAGTTCGTTTCAGATTCCATTTGCCGCAAATTAAAATCTTCAACCAAATTTGACTTCCCAATAAGGTTTTCTGCAAGGAACTAAAACTTCCTTTCAATGAACACCTGATGTGTTAAAATGAATCTAAAACAAACATGCTATTAGGAAGCAACTTGTGAATGAAATTAAATGGTAATATATGAACGAAGAATTTAAAATAAAGTATGGGGGATAAATAGGGATAGAGAAAAAGATCTCACTCCTTCAGTAACCACATCAATCAAGAACATGTTCATCATAGGGAAATAACTGCTAAGAGCTGGAGAACTGTAGAAAAGGTATAATAAGAGTCCTTAATCCAATGCCAGCTTATCACACAAAGATTGATAAGCTGAACTACAGTGCTTGAACTTTTCCTCTGCTGTAACCTATCAACATGCATAATAATTAAAATAATTAGCAAGCTTTCCAAGTATTGATCCTCAATAAGGAATAGAACAAGAAAAGGAAGGAGGGAGAACTAATCAGTGGTTAGAACTTGGCAACACCTTGGAAGAGCCTTGATGACGATCTGGATGCCACTTTAGGGCACATGTCCGGTACCTGATTTCATAAAATAGTTAAAAATCACTTTAAAGAGAAACCAGTAGCACTGGCTTCCAAAGTTCTTTACATTTTGGTAAAGAGTAAGTGGAAAAGAACTCACGCATTTTTCACATCTTCAAGTTTCAGAGGACCAGAAGCACTCAACCCAAGGGCTAATCTATCTGAAACTAAATCTGAATATGAAAAATCAGACTCGGAGTCAGTTGAAGAGCCGTCCTCATTTTTACTCCGATGTCTCCAATTCCAAGATTTCCCATAGTTAGAAAAGCCTCCAGTCCTCCTCCGCTGAGGATTTTCCTCATTTATAAAGGACCAATAGAAGAATCGGTTCCCACCAAAGGCAGAGTGGAAAATGTTTTCAACATCAAAATCATCTCTGCAAAACTCAGGATCTCCTGAAAGAGATCAAGCTTGTTGAAATTTGATATATGAATCCAGAATATGCTATATAGATATCAGGATTCTTTGCATTATAAAATTTTAAACACAATGCAGCTGATTTAAGAAAGCTTATGATGCTAGTTAAAAACCAAATCTGCTCCATGATCTCTACTAGTTAAATCCATCAATCCTATTCGACTAGACATGAAAACATTTCCAGACAAGATGAAGTTAGAAGATTTCCCAGAAGAAAGAATCTCATAAACTCCAATCAAGAGAGCCTTAATACAAGCTTCTAATTACAGCATAAGTATTTCAAGCATCCTTACTTCTGTACTGGTGCCTTGATCCTTGATTGCCATTCCTGTACCTTCCAGAACCCTTGGGAGAATATTGCTTTCTAAACCATGAGGTGCCCCGACTCGAAGATGGATCATCTTCATCAATATCTTCTTTCCAGCTCTAACCATGGAAGAAAAAGGAAAGCATAAGCATTTTAGATGCCACATCTTAAGACAAACAAAAACAGGGAAGAAAGCAGGCTGGAGAACCATTTAGATCTATGACAGAAAGAGTTCATAGGAAGAACCGAAGAACAACCTACGAAAATCAATTATATTGTGGACTCCTCAACATCACATCAATCTTTATTGGGGAGAAACATAGCAATGCAAACTGAATCTAAATTACCGGCACTATTACTGTAAGGATTCCATGAGAAACAAATTGAACAAAGACTGACTAATCATATCGCAGAGCATTTTGAATCTTACCCACTAAGAGGAGACAAAAGGCTACAGTCCAGATCATACAAATGCAAAAGTAGTTACAGTGGCAGAATTTAAGTCTTTCGGAAATTCTGTTCACCATATTTGCAGAAGTGTAACGTAGAATAGAATAAAGCATTCATAAAAACTTCAGGAAGAGAAAGGTATTCCATATAACTTGCTCAAATTATCATTCAGAAGTATTCTCTAGAGGATGGTGATAATCCAAGATTTAGGACACCTAACTGTATTTCATACAAGAAAAATAAAACATTAACAAAAAAAGTCAACAAAATAAAAATAAACTAAAGATTAAAGAGATATAGTCCCTTACAAAAGTCTTTAAATGGGGTTTCTTTTTCATTTTCCTTTTTTTTTCTTCCTTTTTAATAATTATTGTGTTTTGCTGAAAACTTGAAAATACATCAAAGGAAACCTTAGAGCTCTGCAGCATAAAGGAGGCTAAAATCCAAAAGAAAAAAGAAAAAAAGAAAGAAAAACAAACAAGTGATGCCACAGGGTAACTGGACTCCTCTGAGATAACCATAAAGCAGCGGAAATAGCCATGTTGGAGGTTCAAATAACACGTGAAGAAGAAGCAAATTATGAGTATAGGAAACAGTGCATGCGCACACACACACAAGAAAGACAGGGACAAAGAAGGTGAGAGGCATAAGACGAAATCAAGATATTTTAGTTTTCAAGCATTAACATTGCACAAGCATGTTTACAGGCATAAGACTAAAAGCATCACCAACCTGAAACAAGAATTCTGCATAAGCATTGACATCCCGGAGTAATGTTTGTTTCGCATGTGTCTTTCTAAATCTTTTTGAGTAATGGTTGCATCCCTGCAATTAAACAATTTTAGCACAAAACGATTCTTATATACAATGAGCCTAAGACGGTGACAATTACTGTAAACTATGCACACTACATTGGACGAATAGATTGAGCGCATAACCGAAAGCAGCATAAGAAAGAAACACAGAGCACCTAACCGCCAATAATGCATGTGAGAAAAAAAAAAATTGCATGCCCAAAGTTGGTTAACATATTGAGTAAACTATTAAAAGATAAACAATAATAAAAGCAATAAATATATCGGTGTTCCCTCAGGTTCACAAGAAAACTAGCTCTTTATATTCCATTTCGGATAGTAAGAAAAAAATACTTAAAGTCACATTCAACACTACATAAAAGCTCTTATACGTCTTTTAACTCAATATGAAACAGAAGATAACACTACTTGATAACATTTAAAATAGCTAATAAGAGTAAATATAAAATTTGGTTCCTAAAAGACATTAAATGTCTTACTTTTGTCACCAAAAGTTTCTACTATACAAATTGGACTCTAAAGTTGCCAGCTTGATAACAAATTCACCCATCAAAGGTTGTCAACTTGCAAACAAATTCACCCCTTTGAAGGCTAATTTGTAAAGACAAAAACTTTCAGGTACCACTCAGTAAAATAAAGCTTCCAAGTTCCAAATAACTAAATATCACAATAACCATAATACATCAAATTAGCACTCCTTTCGATTTCAACTCTAATCTCACAATGAATCGAAATAACAATTTTTGCTGGTTAACAAACAATTCATAAATCAGATTCTCCTCATCTCTTCTTGAATCAAATAATATGCATATACAAAAAAAAAAAAAAAATATGCAATTCAGAAGAGAAAAAACAAAAACAAGAGAGAGAGAGAGAGAGAGAGAGAGAGAGAGAGAGAGACTAATTGCATACAGATTCCCAAGAATTTCTCTTTCTGCGTTCCAAGAGAGGAGAGGAATGAAAGAGTCTGAGGGTGTTTGAGTTGAAGAATCTGGTAGCTTTGATGGCGCTATTCATCTTCTGAAAATCCTGCAACATCACGTGCAAGATGCGTGCTACCTTGAAGCTAAGCTAACCCTACAAATACAAGCGTCTGCATCAACATCACGTCAACAACAAAACCGGGGGAACAAAGAAAACTCAAGTTGACTCTCCGCCACTAGCAAGTCCATAACCAACGTGTGTTTGGGAGCAAATTAAGGGGAATAACAAAAATAAATAAATAAGTGAAATTTTTTTTTTTTAATTTACATAGAGCTAAATTGAAAATTTGAAGTTTATTATATTTGTAAGACAAATTATTAAAATTTATGTGTCCAAAAATAAAAAAAATAGAAAGAAAAATTGAAATTAGAATATATGGTGATCCTTATAAAATAAAATAAAAATTAACTAAATAGTATGTTTAAATAATTTTTTAACACAATTTCATACCTGGATTCAAATTTAAAATGACTAGTTAAGTCGAAATAATATTGAATCAATTAATTAATGTGTGTATATATATATATGGGAGGTTATACTTATTACATTTTTTTCTTACTATCTCTTACTACTAAATCTTAAACGTTGATTTCCGCTACTCTAACGGTTGTAATTCATGGGATCATACTTATTAATTAATTATTAATTTTCAATAAATTATAACCGTTAGATTGACGGAAATCAACGGTTAAGATTTGGTAGTAAAAGATAATAAGAAAAATAGGTAGTAAGTATAACATTTCCCTATGTGTGTGTGTCTATATATATATATATGTGTGTAAAATTATTTCTGCAGCCGTTTTACGTACAGCAACGACAGGTGTATGGTTATGATTCCCCACATTTAATGATTTCATCCTTTGTATGGTTATGATTTCTCGCATTTAATGCTTTCAAATATATATATATATATATATATATATATATATATATATGATAAGTATTTGATTGTTGCACATACAGTGTAACACCCCGTGTATACTCAGTTTGTTAACATGCCATTGTATTAATCCACGCTTAATTAAAATGCGAAATATTCTTTTTCCTTTCATTTATGACATCATTATCAATTACCAACTTCATTACTTAATCATTTCAAAACATTGCCTGTATGTAAATTGCAAATAGACAGCTAACTGAAATACCTCATAAATATATATATGACATAAATGTGTCTCTAGCCACGGAACTACAACACGTAGACCGGACAAACCCTGATAGTTTATACAACACAGATCTAAACTAAGACATAGTCAATCAAAGTGGCATGGACAATCCTCATACTCACCAAATAAGGCAACAAAGCCAAGCATAGTCTCAAATCAAATAACATGACAGTAAAGATAAAGCAATGTCAGCATCTAGCAAAATCATCATAATAGCATACAATCAGCTAAGCTCCGGCCTCCTGCCGCTAGAGGTCTCAACCCCCGCATTACCTGAACCTGAAATATGTGTCCCAAACGTGGGGTGAGATCTCTAAACAAAAATCTCAGTAAGACAAGGGGTCGTCAAGGATCTTCCACCCCAAGCTCACTTACATGTGCAATATAAGTTCTAAAAGCAGTAATTCAATATCAGTTCCAAAATCAGTGCAATGCAGCAGATAATCATGTCATGCGTGTTATAACTATTCTACTGATCAGAGAAGTTCAGGAATACGTCTATTACCCACACAGTACACGCCCATGTTGTACCCGCCCACAGGACAACCACATGGCTTTCTGTCTCGGCGAAACACCACATACATATCATAAGCATTATGCACTTAACAGCTCAATAGCATTTCAATAAAACAGTACATGAAAACACATCATGCATATAAACCATCCCCCATGGGACATGGTGGAACAAACAATGGCTAAACCGAGGACACGAAAGCTTACCTTGCAAGCTAACAATCCAAGCCAAGAGTCCAACCTCAAAGCCCAAACACAGCAGAATCACAATCTGTTTTGGACCAGCAATCATATCAATAATCATACACAACAAGCATAAGACACAAGGACAACGTCTTTTCTTAACGTTTCATGTCTTTAGGCTTCTCACAAAGCCACAAGCCCTTAATCACTTGATTCTGACTTAGTTCAATTATTACAGAAGTTCAACTTAACCAATCTAGGGTCCACAAACCCATAACTTAGTTCTGTATGAACAGTATCGTTACTGTTCTCAAAAACCCAGAATATTCGGATATTCGTCGGGGACATATCCGGATATCTGTCTGGCAATATCCGGATATTCAGAACCCCATATCCGGATATCAATATCCGGATATTTCTAACCCAATAACCGGATATTTCGCGGCAGAACTCAGATTCTGCATTTCGCGAGATATCATTCCAAAGGTTCGACTTTTACCGATTACAGAAGCTTAAACATGCATTTCTAGGTGTGTTTAACCTTACTCAACCTTAAGTTATGATCTTTAGCTTGTTACATGCATCAAGGTTTCATTTTTAACCAAAGAAACTCAAGAACAAAGGTGGTGATCGTACCACAAGCTCAAAACAGAACAAGTAGGTGCTCTTGGATCTCTCTCTTCAACCCCAAAGGTTCTGACTTGCAAGTGTACAAAAATGGCACACCACAATGGTTCCTTCTCACCAAAATTGGCTTCTTGGACCAACACCAACAAGACACAAGCTCTCAAGCCACCCCAAACAATGAAGTCAGTCCACAACTCACTTACCACAGCCACCACAACCCAGAAATGGAGCTCACCTCACACTCACCATGATAGTTTCCACTCACCCAAGGTATTTTAGTGAAGAAACAAGAGGAAAAGGTGACAACTTGGTTGAGTTTCAAGGGAAAATAGAGGGTGGCAGCATGAAGAGCCCAATGATCAGAAATGGAGGCACGTAGAGTTGTATTTTCTGACCTAGATGTGTGTGCCAAGGCCTTATATAGGCCACTTAAGTCTTAATCGCACTGTATTAGCGCTAATTGTTACACTTAGCATTTTAATCCCAAACTTAGGATTTTGAACCTACTCATTTTTCTAAGATTTATCATATTTTTATTTTATTTTTCGCAGCACCTTTCTGGTACGCGCTTTTCCATAGCCAGTATCAGTTCTGGCACCAGTTCTCATTATTTTAACTTGAAAATTGTTTTACAAGTCCTATATATTATTCTAGTGACATATACACACTTTTCATAATTTTCCGGGATACTTCACCGATACGCATTTATAACGAGTAGCAGAACCGGTATCTGCACTTTTCGTCAGAAAAATGACTTTCAGCATTATTAATTACTTCCTATAATTATTTAAGCCTTATCATAATTATTAGAGTCAATTATGGAATCATTTCCTAATTTCACATAATTAATTAATTACTTCCTTAATTAACAGTGCGGGTTCTTACATACAGCAGCTGCAGAAATATAAACCCCATATATATTTATATATGGGAAAAAGGTATCTAATGTTACTTTAGATAACTTTATCTAATGTTCATTGAAAAGACGTCGTTTTGGGGTTGAAAAATTAAAAAATTAGAATGATAAAGACTATTATAACCCTGAAATAAATTTAAATTACAAAAATACCGTGATTTCCGTACCAAAACGACGTCGTTTTGATGAACATTAGATAAAGTTATCTAAAGTAACTTTAGAAAAAACAAACCATATATATATATATATAGGGAAATATTACTCTCCTTTCACATAAGACAACTTATCTCATTTTCTCTCACTCCGATTTCCCCACCCCACCTTTTTCTTTTTTCTCGTAATGGTGGGACCTACCCATTTTCTCTCTAACACATAAGATCATTATCTTATGTAAAAGGAGATTAATAAAACCCATATATATATATATATGGGTTTAAATTGTCTCCTTTTATAGAAGACAATTATCTTATGCTAATGAGGTATAAAAAATTGTGTCATTCTTTTTCTTTCTTTTTTAAATGGTGGGACCCACATAATTTGTTTCTATGCATGAGACAAGGTATCTTCTATTAAATGAGATTAATAAATCCCTATATATATATATATGTATATGTTACAGGAACAAAGAAAAGTTGTCTTGCTGATAGATCGATAATTGTGCTTTTTTTTTAAAAAAAACATGTTGGCCTATGATTATTTTGTGTCAATAGGATAACTTTATTTTTTTTCTGTGACAGGACGCTTGTTTAACCTTATATATATATATATATATATATATATATATATATATATATATATATATATATATATGGGGTTTACATTTCTACAGCTGTTGTACGTGCAGCAATCTAATACTTGCCACATATATACTTGAAAGTATTAAATGTAGGGAATAATAACCATACACCTGTCGTTGCTGTACGTAAAGCGGCTACAGAAATGATTTTACCTATATATATATATATATATATATATATATATATATATATATGGGGCAAGATATTATTACACCGGTGTAAGAGTTAGAAGTCTTACACTTAATCTTGACTATTGATCCACTTGTATCTAATGGCTCACATTACTAAAAAATTAGGGCCCTTAGATATAAGTGGAATCAAAGGACAAGATTAAGAGTGTAAGTTACACTGGTGTAAAATGATCCTGACCCTATATATATATATATATATATATGGATCAAGATCATTGTACACCGGTGTAAAACTAATAAGTCTTACACCACATCTCAACCGTTGATTTTCGTGCATCCAACGGTTATTATTTAGGAAGTCATGAATTAATTAATCGTTAATTTCACTACAAACACCAACCGATGATTTTCGTCCATCAACGGTTGAGAGGTGGTGTAAGACTTATTAGTCTTACATTGGTGTAAAAAGAACCTACCCATATATATATATATATATATATATGGGAAAAAGGTATGTCATTTTAAATGACACACCTTATATCATTTCACTCTCACAAAAGGTGCGACTCATATCTTGAAAACTTTTCCCACCCATTCTCTCTCATGATTTATCCATTTCTCTCACTTAAATAACATAACTTTGTGTCCTTCAAAATGATACACATTTCCTCATATATATATATAATATGAAAAAACATTTTCTCATATTGCATGAGAATTGAATTCTCATGTTGAGACCCTTTGATCTGCGTGCGAAATTTTTCTTTTCTTTTTCCCTTTTTAATATATATGAGGCCCACCACTAATTGAGTTACAACATGAGAGTTCAATTCTTATATAACATGAGAAATCAAAGC